GGATTTATTATGATAATCTTTTCATTTAAAAAACATTGTATCTTTTGAATATGGATCCTGTAAACCCGCAATATATATTTATAATGTTTGTTAAAGTTAACTATTTCGGTAAAACCCCATATACTTTATAGCTTTTTTACACACAATTACAACGGATTCAAGATAATCTAGATATATAATAGATTCTAACAACCATTAATCAAAGATGTAGGGGCGCAATAAATAAATGAGGTTTCACATTCTTTACTTTTACATGTGGTCAATGGTCATAACTTTTTAAGCATACTTTTTTATTAACTTTTCTCAAATTTCAAATAAAGTTTGAGACAACCTAATTCTGATAATTGTTATTGGCGACATTTTTTAATAAATGTTTCATATTTTTTATTTGCCGTGCAGTACATAAAAGTAGGGTGTTTACTTTGTTGTCCATCCCTTAGTTATACCCCTTCCCCCCCTTTTCTCAAGCTCTTATTCTCTGTGTGTGTTTCAGAGATAGCGTGAGAGTCCTATTTGTTATTCCTAGGAACTGATTTTGAACTACACATGCATATACAGTTAACAGAACTTTGTTAGTGGCGACCATAGACATAATAATTATAGACATTGCAGTATAAAAACCATTATATTTTTATCTAAGATCTGAACTATAGCAAGATGTTGTAAAACTAAGTAGTGCTGGTTGAACTGTTTTGAGGGTTCTGCACTTTAGCAGTATCATCAATTCCAAGCTCTAATTCTTTCAGCTATTTATTAATTCCGACCTCTTCTTATAATTGATAAGAATGATTTAATTTACATGGCATCCACAGAAAACCAAAAGAAACCCATTTCTAAAACTAAATCTGTCTTTAATGTACACATATGTTGTACTGTACAATGTATACTGTAAATTCTAGACTTTTTTTTCTGGTTTAACATGCAGGTTTCAGTGTATTTTATAGGTTTTACGAATTTTTTAAATTGTTATAGCCCCCTTTCTCATTCTCTGAAATTTTACATAATATTCCCCCCCCCTTCCCGGCCCCCTCACTTCCGTTTGTGCAAAAAAATTGAGGATTCCATGAAGTTGTCTGAAGTATTTGCTGGGTAATCAATGCGCTAATTATTAATTACAATCAACAGTATAATCAAGGGGGTGTATACTATATTATTAAGGGGGTGTATACTATATTATTAAGGGGGAATTTACAGATCAACAAGCCCCTCTTTATTCAATATTGTTTAAGTTACTAATGTTATCCACAATAGGAAAGGAATTGAGTCTTTGCCACAAAAACTCTTATTTTCTAATCCCTATATCTTTGCAACCCAATGTCGTATATCTTAGATATTTCAAAATGTTAAAATAATTATTTAAGTTTGAAATATCAAAGGTTTACATTATCAGGTTGCAAAAATATAAAGATCGAAAACTGGAGTTTGATGCAAAAATTCAATTCCTTTACTATTACATTTCAAAAATGATGATTCATAGAACAGAGCAGGAACATTGTTCTAAACATGTAACTTGATGAGATTAAAAGGTTGGTTTTCATTTTTCTTAAATGTTTAGTGTGTTCTTATTACACACTAATAACCCAAACCCAAACCTACTGGATCCTTTCTCCCCCTACCTCCCTCCCACCCCCCCGCCCCCCCCCC